TCTCCAGCCAAGCACAGACGGGGTCACGGGGACCCCATCCTGGAAGTCTCACAACACCAACAACACCCAAACTCTTCGTGATCTCTTTCACGCCTTTTTGCCAAGTCATATGCTGTCCACCTCGCGGTTTGCGCCATCCTGAAGGAGGCACGGAGAACAACACTCGTCTTGGTAGACGGTGTTTCGGCATGAGTAGCACATGACCGAGCCATCGCAGTCGATGATGCTGGATGTTTTCCCGGAATGAGGTGTCTGCAGCACAACCAAATACCCGTTTTCTAATCACCTCGTTACTGATACGCTGACGCCAGCCGAAACCAGCCACGCTTCTGATGCATCGGTGGTCGAAAACCTGAAGAGGCCTCACATCATCTACCCGAAGAGGCCATGTCTCGCAACCACACAACAACACAGCCCTTACTGTAGCCTGGTACACACGACCCTTCAGATCCAGTGAGATGCCTTTTTGACGCCACAAGTGACGCTCTGTCAGAGCAACTGTCATGTGAACGGCTTTCAAGATCGCTCCAATATTACGTTGAGACGAACTTCACTAAAAGGTGAAGTAAAAAATCTAGGAACTCACTCGCAGCCTTGAGCAGCTCTGAATGGAAGGCAGCAGCGGCCGTTGGCGAGGGCGACTGACTGAGGGCTGCAGCAGCAGCTGCAACTGCAGCTACGGCCGGGGAGGATTTTGACTGAGAGTTTGCAATGGAGTCGAATGTATGAGAATTGGGAGCCATCGAAGTCGCCTCGAGTGGGGTCAACTGCGGTGATTGCTGGAGCGAAGTGGTGGGGTGGGCAACACCCCACAACGATCCCGTTGAACCAGGTGATCCAGTAGCCGAGGCAGCTGCAGCCTGAATTGCTGCGTCATACAGTGGACTGGCCATAAATGCACTCAAAGAAGGGTGCAACCCGGTCAGGGCAGGTAGCAACGGTGAGGATGGGTTCAGTGGAGCATCTGCAGAACGCTGTACAAGAAAAGGAAGTCAATTTAGGTGTACGACTGCCAGAGGATATAACAACTAAACTCACGAAAGCTCACACACCACAGAGCTAGTTACCAGAGTTTTAAGTCAATCCATGTAAGACGATAAAACTTTTTCAGAGCGATCCAGAATAAGGCTTCGCTAGCTGGGGATGACCGGTGCTTACCGAATTCGAGTTGAGCGCAAACGGACTGAGGGCCGAATTAGAGATCACCGGAGAGGACAACAGCTGATGTGGGGTCGTTGGCTTTGGAGTAGTGCTGGTTGATCTGGAGTTCTTCGGTGTGACACCACCCACAGCAACCGGATGTAGTCCAGGTGAATGAGACAACAACGGACCATGAGGAGAATCCCATGAATTCCGAAACACCGGGTACTGAGGTTGCTGCTGCCGTGCTGTGGCCGCGCCGCTGCGGCGGCAGCCGCAGCAGCGGCGGCGGCAGCTGCATACTGTGATGCAGTTGGCGGGAATGAAACGCCCCGTGCAAAGGGGAGAGGAAGTACTGGACAAATAGGGACGATAGAATAGGAAAATTGAATTAGAACGGTGAGGCCAACTAAGGGAGATTCGCTTAAATTAGTAGAAAAAACCTGACGTAACAAGAAGAACGAATACGGGGACTTCTTCGAAGACCGTTGTTCGCGCGATTGGCACTGCGTTATTTAGTGTTGTCCTACAGATGAAAGAAATGTCAGCCAAGGTGAAACTGAACACAAAGTCTCTCAGCGATGCTACATGAGAACAAGAATCCACACTCGTTCGTCCATCCTAAATCAGCGCGTGCTAGTCAGGGCACGCGGACGATCAGTCATAACCTCAACAGTACAGTAATCTACCACCGGTTCGGATGAGGAACCAAAATCCGATGTTGGCGCTGAAAATCATTCGAAGGAAAGCAAAAATGGCGAGGAATCATAACCTGAGAATGAAGATGAAATCGCGTAGTTGTAACAAACAGCCTCTACGAAAAAATACCTAACCATCTAAACATATTCAGGATCCGTTATGGATGACACGATGCGAATGCTACGTGATAATCCTAAAACCAGGACTTCCATCCATACAGATTCGATAGTATGCATGTCTTTGTGACTTCATGCATCGGAGCTAGTCAGCCAGCTGTTCCGCACTGGTGTGCCTGTGTCTGTAACGCTTATCGCTCACATACTGTGACTTATACCATAGTCGTATATACGCAGAAGTTGCGCTCGGTATTCAGCGAGTCCATTGGAATGCTAAATTGATGTCTGGCAATAACTACAAGTGATAAAGTGTGTATGATCAACTGAAACAGCAACAGCACATCATCACAATGCTCACAATCGGCTCAGCTACCGCTGATAGAATGGCCGTGTATTTTTCCAAATCATTCACTATTGACATGGATTGATTTGTGTAAGACCTGGAGCGAAATTTGGCAGAGCCAATGGATCCGTCTGTCGGATAAAGTAAGCTGGACGGGTTAGCGGCATATTAATGACGGAGCTCGAGATAGCTCCGTGGTTAGGACTTGACTGAAGTGTCTATAGTTTGAAACCAACCTCCACATCTCTACTGCTCTGGCCTGGACAACCTGGCTGCATCTCACCTTTTGTGCTTCTTTCGAGTTGCATGGTAGCCAGGCACTGAAAGGATGTTACAGCTGAACGATTTAGTTATGTTTTTATATTTATGACAGATGCATGGTTAGGGTCCTGAACAGCTTGAGCTATCGTTGAACTGCTGGACATAATGACCAGGGAAATTAAGCAAGGAAATCTCGTTTTATAAATCAGAGGTACTGAGCTTTATAGGTTTACGAAAATTCTTGGTGGAAGCAGTTTTGAACTTTAGTTGTTCGGATTTGGTTGAGTGGGATTCGTCCAGCTCTTGATCGGTTTCCGAGCTATCTACGCCCCGAGCTGTTGTTTGTTTTTTTGTTCCGGTTATTCATCTACATCGCTGAATAGAAACGGACTTTACTCAATGGATAAAGTTGGTCTGCGTTCACCTCCAGTTGTACATGGCGAGGTAACACAGTGGTTGGTCGGCAAAGCTTGAACCGAGCTCGGACGGTGCACATGCACACCACCATCGTTTGAAAATTCTCCCCCAGCCTTGGTGCAATTATTCTGGTATCCATGTGATGTGACTGAAGAGCGAGTGTCTAACTGAGAGCTAATCACACTGCCGATCAGTCCTTCGCGGCCAAACGGCTGTGTTCAACCACTGGTCGGAAGTCTGAGCTTTGTGAGATGTGCACTACTGATGAATTCTAATAAGGATGAAACGGCTGCACCGCGCTACTCAACTTTTAAGCATAGATTTGCTTGAATGAAAGATGAAAACTCCTCCTCAAACCTCCTCGCATTACCATCAGAAAACAATTCCGCTATCGAAAGGATCGAGTGATTGTGCGACATGAATTAGTAACAGCTTTGTAAAGTGTCGGAGATATAGCATATCTCCTTTTAATTAGACCAGAATCAGAGCCACAACAGGATGCATGAAGCTTAAGTCGACAGGATGCAAAAAAACACGCAGCAAAGTGTCTCTTCGGTGTGGTCCTCACGCGCGGGAAAACCTATTTGTGGAACGACAGACATTGACAGAGTGACAGTAAAGTGAAGGCCACCGTGAAAAAACGTTTGCTGAAACCCATAGGTGAAGGAAGGTAACGGTAAACTCTGCATTCTATTGTGTCCAACAGTAGTCAATTTGAGAAGCATGATATCGTCTTCTTCAAGTACTGCTTTTGTATGTCCTTGACTTTGAAATCCTCAGAACGCAAATGATCAGTGTGAAGCAGAATTACAGAAAGAACCTACGGGAAGGGCGTCGGTGATGGTCTATGGCGAACACGTTAATTCAGGTAATCGTAAAGTTCGAAATGAAAAATGACAGTAGAAAGTTACTAAGATCAGTTCAAAGTCGAGTAAACTAAAGTGAATAGCCATATTTAACGCAATCTCTGGCCTGATAAAAAAAATCGTTCAGCTGTAGCGCCCTTTCGGTGCCTGGCTGCCATGCCACCCGAAGGAAGCACGAGGGCTGGGATACTGTCAGGTTGCCCAAGCCTAGACAGGGGAAGTCGAGTGGCGGAGGTCGGGTTCGAACCACGGACCTTCCGGTCAGTAAATTCGCGCTCTAACCACTTGAGCCATCTCGCCCCCCTCTGGCCTGATACCACATAATACTCGCCTCGTGTCAGTCCGGATTCGGCATGGTGATCAACATCATCCCTCTAGGAAAAGGACAACTCAGTAAGCGTACGTATCACCTGTCCGGGGAGCTGTATTTTGTGGTGCTGGAGGCATTCCTCAATAAGAGTATTAGTTACACCACCAAAACTACGTTTCCTAGTTTATACGTTGCAATTTCACCGATGAGAGCCTGTGCATGAAACATGGATGTTCAGGGATGGGGGGGAGACTTCGGTTGCTCGTCCCTTTAGGCCATGCTTCACAGTCACCAACAAACTAGCCTGGAAGAGCTGAACACCATCATTATCAGTTGTAAGAACCAGGTACTTGTCGTACGGTGGTTGTAGCTGCCACAATTTCGTCCATCGAAGGTAGGGTAGGTAGCTGCGTATCGGAGGCGGGAGCCGATAGTTTGGTGCGTAAGTACTGGTCTGTCAGTGTACTTTTAAGTGAGTTAATTGAAAAGGGAGCTATGCATTGCAGGCAATAGCTCGGATGCATGAACGCCATTGAGGGTGCGACTGGACCTTGTCCGACAATATCTCCAACCATTGATCTGAAGAGCCGAACGATGTAGCCATGACAAACAGTACAAATTCTCATGTTGAGTACATCTGTAAACCGTGTAGCACAGATCCCAGAGATTTTTAGGAAAGTCCCAGTGGGTCTGTCTCGAAAGCATGCCTAAAATGAAGTGATTATAGCTGGATAACAGATTTCTGGTTGGTTCCAGAAAAAAATCAGTTAAGAGAAGCTTTGGACCTTATTAGGTTCAGCTGTAGCACCCTTCCGGTGCCTGACTGCCATGCCACTTGAAGGTTTCACGAGGGCTGGGATACTGCCAGGTTGCCCAAGCCTAGACAGGGGAAGTCGAGAAGCAGAGGTGGGGTTCGAACCATGAATCTTTCAGTCAGTAAATTCGCGCTCTAACCACTTGGGCGATCTCGCCCCGGACCCTATTAGGTGGTGTTGATAAACGTCTTTTGCGCTATTGCATACAGGTTTCACGCTGCCAGCTAGAGGATCATTTGATGGTCGATCCTACCGAAGTAGCTGGCTAATTTCAGTGCAGTAACCTTTGTGCCCAAGAGAGGTCATCAGGGGAAACAGTAAGTATTGTTATTTATTAATAAGAGCATCGCATATTGGATTGTAGCTGACTCGCAGCACCATCCTTAGAGGATAATACGACGAGCGATGAGATCACTGGGGACACAGGTTGACGATTATCAGTGATGGTGCGGTCAAACTCTGTAAGCTAAACAATAATAAGCAAGACGTCACTCTTTCATCAAACTGCTCACAATAGAAACACACGGAAAGCGGTTACCGAAATTCCACAGCTAGCATATGATAACCCCGTCGTCAGACCCAGTTAATCGAACATGCGTGAACTAACCCCGCCAGGGGCGAAGAGCTTCCCTGTCGCTTCTTTGTGGTGTATCATAGTGCATGCATGTATATAGAAAAGTCAGTGCGTGTGCACACAGCAGCATACAACCCAGTTGTTGAAATAAGAAATGGTAACCGCACCCGGTTATAGGCAGTGTGAATGATGAATGGAGAGTGGGCGCAACTGGGTCGATGGATTCATTCAGACCACGCAGAGTACTGAGTGCATATTGGAACTCACTACGATTCGTCCCAGTCATAGACGTTCTGAAAATGAATGTTGCATCCTGAGACTTCGTTAGCGGACCCGTGATGGTGAATAAAATTGAATGTGTATCGCTCAGTTAAGCGCATGAGATGACGATTTCTTCACTCGGCTAAGGACTATGGATAATCCGCACGAACCTACCGATCATCAAGGGAACAGATCAACACCATATGAGAACTGATAAGCTACAGAAGGGAGTCTACAGGGCTCAGTAGTTACTGGGATGCATCGTTGTTTGGGTTGGCTAATTTTCATCGAACTTCTGCTCCATGATTAAAGTGTATCTTCTGGACTCACTGGAAATACCGTCCACTTCGCTGTGTTCTTGTAGTACAAGATGATGAACGGTGCCCACGACAGGACAAAGAATAAGACAACCAAACAGATTTCAAACACATCCACTTTACAATTTTTGTGTACCCGTTAATTAAGACAAAGACGCTTCCCTGGGCTGAGGATGCGGTGGAAAGAGCTGACGAAATGTCGAAAACGGTAGAACGAAGGCAGATTAAAAACATCATAAACAAAAGATTCAGCTGGGTTCCAGGTGAGTTTCGTATGCAGATGAGTGTATAAGTCGAATTTCGTACAACGAGTTCAACTAGAA